CATATGGCGCCATGTTGACCCTTTACGAGTTACAGGAACAATCGCAATTGCTCAACCGTTATTGATTTTTTAAACAATTATCCTAATAAAAATGTCGATCTAGCAATTATCTACAAGAAAACATGGTATTTTAGCGAATCAAAAACCATTGACGTACACAGCACATGAGGACCCGCACGACCAAAAATATGCAACTTTTGCGTCTTGAAGACGCAAAAGTCCGGAAATCAAATTACATTATCTCATTAAATTTAATGGCAAAAACTGTTATCAATCAGTAATTAGTTCACTAGTTCGCAATGGGTGCTCTGTTTTAAGATCTGTTATTAACAAGTTATTAGTTAAAAATGCACACATAGGGAGGGAAATTTGATCAGATAATTACAAATTATTTAAGACTTGCTTCTGTATTAACAAGAATTAATATACAGAGAAAAGGGTGTGAAATTTTTATTCTGTCAACGCCATTCGTTCTCTCTCAGTGGGTTTCTATATAGACTATATGCTCTATACTATGTTTATCACAGTATTATAGTACAGGCATATATAGTGGCCGCTCTAACTAATTTGGTTCGCTTTTTCGCCAAACTAATTACTTTGAATGTCCTTGCTGTATATTCGTGAGAGTGGTTAATTTCCTCAATGAGTATCCGTGTCTCTTTATGCTATGGTTTTCCTTTAGTTCAGTAATAGGCTCCGTGCAGTATAATAATACAGTATGCAAGAAATGTCATGTTTGACTGCAACACATTATATGTTTCGCAAACAATGTTTCCCTTAACTCTTATAAGATTGACTTTTACGGCAGACCGCTATAACGGTTAACCGCAAAGCCAAAGGTCAAATTGCATTTGAAGTTAAATTCTATACAATTTTTCGACATGCAGCTAACTATTAGTAGCTATTTCGCAATTTTCATGGACAAATTGCCGTAAAACTTCGAATTGTCTGTTGGTATTTGCTTTTGAAGATACTTATATTACCAAACGGAGAACTTATTAGGGCCATTAATTTCTAGTTATATGGGAGAAAATGCGCGACTTACATAAGACGCAAACACACTTGTATAAATGGTCTAATTCTAGTAAGTCGCGACTAATTGTGGACCAGTCTAAACCCTAATTGTTCTTATGTAATTCGCAGTTAACTAAAATTTGAAGTGAATTTGACCATTTATACGAGTGTGTTCGCGTTTTATGTAAGTCGCGACTTATTTTCTTCCGTATAAATGGCCCTATTGAGCAAGTGATCACTACAATGCAATGCTATAATATGCTGAGAAATAATTATCAATTATGATACGACTTCCAGCTTCAACTGAATAAGCAAAGATGACTACATCTTCCTGATCTGTCAGCAAATGATGACTGCATCTTTCTGACACAAGAGCGTCCACTAAAAGAATTCCCATAATATTTATACTGTACAACAGCAGTGTATTTTTTGTGTCTTGAATAGTAACTTGTGATAAAATTATAGAATTTATTATACTTTTTATTTAGATATAATATGCTGTGTAATAATTATGATACGACTTTCAGCTTTAACTGATTAAGCAAAGATGACTACATCTTCTTAATCTGTCAGCAAAAGATGACTACATCTTTCTGACACAAGAGCGTCCACTAAAAGAATTCCCATAATTTTTATACTGTTCAACAGCAGTGTATTTTTGTGTCTTGAATAGTAACTTATGATAAAATTATAGAATTTATTATACTTTTCATTTAGATATAAGTTGCTGTATAATAATTATGATACGACTTTGAGCTTCAACTGATTAAGCAAAGATGACTACATCTTCTTAATCTGTCAGCAAAAGATGACTGCATCTTTCTGACACAAGAGCGTCCACTGAAAGAATTCTCATAATTTTTATACTGTACAACAGCAGTGTATTTTTTATGTCTTGAATAGTAACTTATGATAAAATTATAGAATTATTATACTTTTTATTTAGATATAAGTTGCTGTGTAATAATTATGATACGACTTTGAGCTTCAACTGATTAAGCAAAGATGACTACATCTTCTTAATCTGTCAGCAAAAGATGACTGCATCTTTCTGACACAAGAGCGTCCACTGAAAGAATTCTCATAATTTTTATACTGTACAACAGCAGTGTATTTTTTATGTCTTGAATAGTAACTTATGATAAAATTATATAATTTATTATACTTTTCATTTAGATATAAGTTGCTGTGTAATAATTACGATACGACTTTGAGCTTCAACTGATTAAGCAAAGATGACTACATCTTCTTAATCTGTCAGCAAAAGATGACTGCATCTTTCTGACACAAGAGCGTCCACTGAAAGAATTCTCATAATTTTTATACTGTACAACAGCAGTGCATTTTTTATGTCTTGAATAGTAACTTATGATAAAATTATAGAATTTATTATACTTTTTATTTAGATATAAGTTGCTGTGTAATAATTATGATACGACTTTGAGCTTCAACTGATTAAGCAAAGATGACTACATCTTCTTAATCTGTCAGCAAAAGATGACTGCATCTTTCTGACACAAGAGCGTCCACCGAAAGAATTCTCATAATTTTTATACTGTACAACAGCAGTGCATTTTTTATGTCCTGAATAGTAACTTATGATAAAATTATAGAATTTATTATACTTTTTATTTAGATATAAGTTGCTGTGTAATAATTATGATACGACTTTGAGCTTCAACTGATTAAGCAAAGATGACTACATCTTCTTAATCTGTCAGCAAAAGATGACTGCGTCTTTCTGACACAAGAGCGTCCACTGAAAGAATTCTCATAATTTTTATACTGTACAACAGCAGTGTATTTTTTATGTCAGCAGTGTATTTTTTATGTCTTAGCACTATATATGTAACTGCAACCTTATAACTTCAATTAACCTGTTTCCTCTTTTACCTGTATAGCCGTTTTCGGAACTTAATAATAAAATGCGCTAGCTTTATAGTCCATGTAAGTCAATATGCCAGTACGGCTGGTATTGTACAAAAATACGCCGTACTTTAGGTTATATTTCTAACGAGATTATAGTACGGGGATGTGACAATTAAAAACATTTCCTATCGTTTTCTTTGTTTACAACAGTTACTTGCTGTAAACTAGGTTCAATATACGAAAATTGCTTAAATTCAATATTTATTGACAGGCCGAGTATAAGTTTCTATAAAAATAGAGTATCAAAAATATCAACAAGCAGTATCAAATATCAACATACCCCAGTGCGTCCTAGCTGAGTTAGTTTGAGAAATGTTTCGGCCATGCTGAATCGGATATGAAACGCATTCTCAATTTTATTTAGACGTTTCTTGCGCGTGCAGAGAGAATAAATGTCTCTTGTTTGTCGTTTTTTCCTGTAGAAGACGGTTATAAGGATTCATGCGAATGCCCTTCTGGGACTAATTGGCTCATGGTTACTGTTTGTAGCTTCAGAATTGTCTCGGGCCGCTGAATTACTCTAAGCACAACGTGTTGACTATCTTGTTGATGGTCTGATACGCGCTGGATTCCAGCCGTTCTCCTCTTGGATTTCATTGTCTCATCGCCAGAAAGAATATACGCTTTCTGCCGTCGTCCATTGAACCAACGGTAGGATGGCTGCTTGCCATGCATTGCTGTCTTGAAGATCAGCGATATGGACCTTCCGTATTTCGCTTGAGAACAGTTGAAAGACTGCACTTTCATCAGCCCTTCTATTCAATTTTGGATAACGGCAAAGCAAATCGTGATTGGCGTACCAATTCTTGTTATAGTCCAAGCTATGCGAATAATATATAGTCGAAAGAACATTGCGCAAATTGCCTCGACTTGTCATATTGCCATTGCTTCGCGGTACTATTCAAATTCTCGCGCGTTTGCCTATAAATCTCAAATGATGGCGTTGACAGATGTGGTCAACTATTAGGATTTATTTAACTTTTACTAATATAAAACTGAACTTATCAATATTTAAACCATTCATAAAACTGATCATCAAATTACACTTCCACCTTGTCCTATAGTGAGTTAATTTAATTTATACATGTCAACCCTCAAACGCCTTGCCACATTATGCCATGGTAACGAACATATTTTGACTTAATTTTTTCACACATCGTGCGGGTCCTCATGGTCATGGTGTAAAGATGTCTTTCCCATCTTCTCAGACATGTTATTTTGGGAAGCATGCAAGAAAAATGTAAGATATTATAAGCTGTAGAAATGATTTTTCTCTTATTTTCTGATATGTCATGTAAAACGTACAGAAGAACCAAAATATAAAATAAAAAAGTAGGGTCACGGAACTTCTTAAAGAGATTCAACATGAAGCTATATAATCAAGGATTCCCTTTTTTATACAATACATTTTATCAGGGGGAAGGGCAAAATTTTGCCAGGGGGGCCGGGCTCCCCGTTCCCAGCCCTGGCTACGCCTCTGGTTTTTATCTTTGCCTTTACTCTCTCTCTCTTTGTCACTTTATACATTGCAGTTCGACTACATGTATTATGTAGAATTCATTATTAGATATGCGCAGTAAAAGTGCGCAATGCAAAAGTGATGAATCCTTTGCTGCGCGTGGGATTTGCGTGAGGCGTTTGAACACAAATTACATAAAGTACGCAGTGATTAGCGACCGCTGACTAGCCTTTTTAACATGACTGTGGACTCATATTTTGCAAATGGGCGGGAATTTTATTCAAAATAGTGAAATAAACAAGAAGAAAAGGGGAAAATCAAAGAAGGCAGTTTTCCTTGAGGTGTCTACGTTAAACCATAGACAATCCAGAAGACAAGTCTTCTGGATTGTCTATGGTCAAACCAAAGTGTGTAGCTGTTTGGCAATTATAATCATGTTCCTTCGTGTAATGGGCCTGAGTAGTGCCTCACGTCATCTTCGAGAAATCTTTCTGTGCAAAAATATATTCTGTTTTCGCTAAGAAACCAAAGTGATTTCGCGTTTGAAGAGTATATAGTGTCAGAAAACATTCACAAGAAAGATGGCGATTGAAAATCCCGTTGCTTTTCATTATTGTTTTACTCGGAAAAATGTTGCTCACTTCGATACAAGCGCCATTATTTTTAACTACGTTTTAAGAAGTTAACGATACTATTTAGACTTATTAGGACTTTCTAGAACTATTTTTTAACTGCATGTTAACGCTAACGACATCAGTTTTGTACAACCGACTTAACTACGCGGATAAAGTTAATCACTGTTTAACTACAAAACTTAACGGATAGTAAAAAGTAGTTAAGAGTTTTATACAATTGGCCCCTGGTTTCCAGAAACTATACGGGAGGCAGAAGGGGTTCAAATCAGCGTCAGAAGTATAAACCAAAAATCGCTTTATTGGCGACGACCTAAGGTGACTTAGGACCCGGAGTAAGCCTAGAAGTGTAGATCAAGCAAAAATGACATTGTGTTTGTTGAACTACATTATCACTTAATTAGAATAGACGTTCTCTGACTAAGATTTTTTAAACGAGCTTTCGACTTTTCCGTTTTGCTCGTGGACAACCTTAACTGAAATAGTTGTATATATAATCACTAACCAGACACAGTACTAAAATACGGTGCCCTCCGTGCTTCCACTTGCAGGGATTTTTCCCTACAGCAAGGAAATATTGGTCCTTGCAAGGATTTGCAAGGAAATGAGTTTTTCAAGGAAATGGCAAGGGAAAATACTAAAATTGAAGGAAATTGCAAGGATTTCTAAAACCACTTAAGTCTTAAACCAGTAAAAATAAACTTATAAATAGTATAGGTCTAACAAAAGAGGTACAGAAGAATCTGAGAATGCCATTTCCGGGGATCTAGAGACTATAAATTTCAAAACTTGTCGTTCAGCGCCTTCTGCCATTTAAATGAATAAATTTCAAGCACCTGCAAGGAATTTTTACTAGGCGATTAAGGGAACGTATTGATGCGAACAAAAAACAAACAAACAAACAAACAAACAAACAGACAAACAAACAAACAAACAAACAAACAAACAAACAAACAAACAAACAAACAAACAAACAAACAAACAAACAAACAAACAAACAAACAAACAAACAAACAAACAAACAAACAAACAAACAAACGGACAAACAAATTAAACGGACAAACTCACAGGCAGAATATAATGCGGTGCCAAAAATGGCACGGGCACCGCAATTTTAGCGTCTAGAGATGACTTTTTTATTAACTAGCATAGGCATATATTGTTTAGGAAGCGGTTTAGAACTTTTTATTATTATAGCAGTATGCCCGAAGATTCTAATGCCGCTATCACTGATTACTTTCCCATTCTTAAAGTCAATTATATGGTCCATATCTCATGCATGTTTAGCTATGTTTGAGCCTTTTTAAAGTTTTTTTTACATTTCGAATATGCTCCTTCTTTCCAGTTCCAAATGATCTTCCAGTTTCGCCAACATATGACCACGAGCAGTCAGAGCAAGGTATAGTGTATACGACGTTGATACGTTGTTCAGGTGAAACTTGATGTTTATAGGGGTAGGAAAGATTCTTTGTAATGTTTTTTAAGGTTTAGTCAGTACCCTGCATGATGTTCTGTTTTTGTTAAACCATATGGACGGTAAAGTCACATGTCCATATGGTTTGTCATCTTGAGTGACGCGTTTGAATAATTATCCCACAAGTTCCTCTGGTGATGGTTCACATTTGTTGACAGTCAAATTTTTAGCGTTTGTTTTATAATTTTGGTGGGATATCCATTATATTTTAGGGTTGTTTATGTGATTAGACAGATTTAGCTCGAGGACGCGGACGTCAAAGACGACGTAAAAATGGCGTCAAAATGACGTGGCATATCCATACATGGGCACAGCACGCCATTTTCACGTCGTCTTTGACGTCCGCGTCCCCGATCTAAATCTGTCTATTGAGTTCGTCTTGTTTGCTCGTGTGTGAGTGTGTAAGTGTGTTTGGTTGGTTGGTAAAGTTTGTGCCCTATGTAGCCTATAAGACTTCTAGCTGTGCTAATTTTGTGTTTAATATAGCCGTGAGAGTTGAAATCTAGATATCTGTCTGTGCGTTGTACGTCAACTTCCAGGTTGTTACCTAACCTTGTCGCGTTATAAGTGTATCTGGAAAAGAGATTCGATTGTCCTGTTCAAGTTCAGTATGTTAGGGTCAATGTTGTTCAAAGTATTGTGAAATGTCGAACGTTTCCAAGTTTTAGGTTTTGTAAGAGTTGTTTGAATGGCCGTATTTTCAATCACTTCCATGCAGAGGTTAGCCACAACTGGGCTACCCATGACACAGGAATGAAATCAATTTATTTGTAAGTCACGTTGTTATAAATAGTTGTTAGAAAGCGTAAAAGGGAAATAATGTCGTCAATTGTAAGATTAGTGCGTGATGTCAAGGTATCGTCCTGTTCGAGTTTAATCCGCATGTATTGACAGGTTTTTGGGACGGGAATATAGCCATAAATATAGTGAAACAACGTCAAAGGATACAGGGGCGGCGCTAACCCTCTTCGAGTGGGGGGGGTGTGAGTGATCTTTTGCCGACTGTTGTTTGGTAATTTTGCCGAGTCATTAGCCTATAGTAAATGTGCATGTTTAAATGCGCTTTATTAACCCTCTATTAAGCCGGTTTTCCACCAGCGAACCTCCCCGCGCGAAGCGACCCCTTTCCTTGGTCGGCATCCATTTTGCAGCCCTCGAAAACCGTCAAAATTGAGGTCGAAAAAAAAGGGCTGACCCAAATCTGACCTTGGTCTCGGCAGTTCTTTTCACTGTTTCACTTCTTGGAGCACTATTAATCACGCATTTAACAACAACAACAACAACAACAACAACAACAACAACAACAACAACAACAACAACAACAACAACAACAACAACAACAACAACAACAACAACAACAACAACAACAACTACAACAACAACAACAACAACAACAACAACAACAACAACAACAACAACGACAACAACAACAACAACAACAACAACAACAACAACAACAACCAAACAAATTTAATTACCTAATTATGATTTCAATAATATTATGTTTTTGGATTGAAAGAAGTGAAGATACTGTATTCGAAAGAATTTGCATTGCTGCATGTGTGGTTTCTTTGATGCTATTCGTGATATTCGGTTTGAATTCAATTATTCAGGAAGTCATTTTTTGTTTCGTCAGTGGTTATCTTTAGCCAATCCAGTTTTGCCGACTGAGATAACAATTTGCCGATTTAGTCAGAGAACGTTTATTTTTATTTTAATTATGTCTAAACCTGGCTACGCTATCTCCATATATTACCACTGTTGTAATCAAATACGAATTTATATACATACTGTACCTGCGTTCTTTTTGATGAACCTAAACGTTGCCATAAAGCCATTCTGGTTTGATTTGCTATCTGTTTGAAATTTTACGTTCAATCTTGAACCAGAACTGAATATAAACTTTGGGAGGTTATTGCTACACCATGGTTCAAAAGGAATAAATTCTGATGCTGGACCTGAATCGTAGACTCGAAGCATGTCCTTGTTACAAAGAAACTGTGAACCAGGGATAAAATCAAGTTTGATCACGGTGTTTTCGGATGAACCACGAATATCCCATGTACAATCCAGGTTACCAGGGTATGCATTAGGATAATTAATGGTATTTATTGTTCCAGTGGTATCACTTTCTTTTGACATTGGACATACTATATAAGAAACAGACATCAAGACGTCATACTGCTATCAAAACTTCAGCAAGGATTATAAGTTATAGAGCTAACGACGCAAACAATGCTGTACATACCTTATATAATTCAAATTATTATGTTTAATTGTTTGCTTCGATCGTTTTTGTGGGAAACACTGCATTATTTTTCATAAGAAAACCGGCAGCAAACGTGGTGGTTTTTTTTTCACAACAAAACAATGACGTGAAAATACTTTCCATGATAAAATAAATTTCATGTTGTTGGTCCTCATGGCAAATCTGGGTCAATCTCTATAATCAGTGCCAGATTAACGTTTCGCGGGGCCCGTGGTATATTATCAGCGCGGGGCCCCTTGACCCCCCTCCCCCAACGGCGTTTTAAACACGGAATAGGCAATTCCAGCTTGTAGTTTATGCGTGCAGGGGGGATAGGAAGTAAGGTATCATATTATTGATTATGCTAAAAAAATAAAAATGGTGGCCGTGCACACACGGAGTGATAGCTAAAACTTGTACATATTGAAATATTTCGGTTGTTCCGGCAGTTTTTATTGATATTTTTCAGCATAATCAGCAATATGATACCTTACTTCCCATCACCCCCTGCGCGCATAAATTAAAAGCTGGAATTGCCTATTCAAAAAGATTCAAAAATATAAAAATATCATTTTGTATTCCATGCGTTGAAACGTTACCTGTGTTATTTGCTGTCTTGGTGTTATGTACTCAGGTGAATAAGATGCGTGTGATGTTACTCTGAGTGTATATCCACACCGGAAAAAAAGTATGTGCGTGGAGAACATACAAGATTATGTTTGTGATGTTACTCTGAGTGTGTATCCACACCGGGAAAGCTTGAAAAACATGCCTGGCCACGGTGGGAATCGAACCTACGACCTTTGGAATACCAGCCCAAGGCTCTGCCAACTGAGCTACGCGGTCAGGTCGGTTCGAGTATGTGATATTTCGGAACTGAGTTTAGTTCCTTCGATATCAGTGTAATCTAATAATCATGTTTTTCAAGCTTGCCCGGTGTGGATACACACTCAGAGTAACATCACAAATATCATATTCACCTGAGTACACTACACCAACACAGCAAATAACATATTAAAAGTGTGCATATAGCACAATGTCAAGAAGATTACATAATTTTTGCTATATCTTTATCCGAAACGGTTACCATGACCTTAATATAGAATTCTTTTTACACAATGAATATCAGCAATAATTATATCATCTGACAAACTGACAGCTACATATTGCATTATATAATATGTTGCAATACTTAGATTTAAAAACAGGCATTAACTTAAAAGTATGTACCTGCTGTGCATTAATTATGTTGATTTGGGCCCCGTGCCGAAACAGGGTACAAAAATTTCGAAAAGAGTAAGCGCGGCAACTCCAAAAGCACGGGGGCCAGTGGCATATGCCGCTTCTGCCACATGGTTAAATAAATCCAGCACTGTGTATAATGTTAACTACTTTATATGGGTATACAAACCTTCCTCATCTCTGATTGTGACGTATGTTGCCTTAAATCCTCCACCAATGACATCAAAATTGCTACTGAAGATAATACATACAGGTTTCGTCCGCTGGAAATCACATTAAAAGGAGAAGAAGTGCACCAATTACCAAGAGCACGACGTTCTGAAGAATCACCATCGTATATCGCAATCTTGTCGCATTCGCAGCGTGGGCAGTCTTGTAGATTAAATGTCCCTGCAGTTATATGAACTTTGTAGCCGACATTAGCAGTAATCTTCCATTCACAAAATAAGCCGCCTTCATAATGACCAGGAAAACCTGGACTTTGTATTGATCCGGAAGAATCGACACGTTTCCCACTTTCAGGACAAACTAAAAGACAAAGTGAATGTGCACTAGTAACTAAAGACAAGGTAGTAACTAAATATTGAGATGGGTTTTAAAATAGCGATTTTAAGCCGGTTATTTCCATTTGAAAACTTTGTCAGTTTCAATGGTCTTTATGATCTTTACCTTACAAAAACCGGATATAACTTGAAATTTTAATTACCGTTCGTTTCCGGTATAGCTTTGTAACTTGCTTTAAAACCTTCATACGCCCAAAACGTATCAGTTCGCATCACAATATACATGCTTTGACCACTCGAAAGAAGATCAGCAGTATTCTTACACCATTTGCCCGATGACTTGCTTTGCTCCGAAGGACCGTCATATATTTGAATATAATCGCATGCGCAGTTTCTGCAGTACTGAAAATCTATTTTCTGTACGCTAAACCTGATAACGGATCCAGCTTCAGATTGGATTAACCACCAACATTTTATGTTACCCAAATAATAATCTCGATCATTTGGACTAATTATTGATTTTTCCAATGTTGTACTTGCGGGAAGTAATCCACTCCCAGGACATACTATATAACATAAAAATGAAAATAATTTTAAGACAAATTAGACAGCGAGATTTTAGCGAGATTATAAGGTGGAAAATGACCTGGCGAAGATTTAAGATAAAGCAAATCAATAAATTTCCCAGATGATCTGATATCTCTGAAGGGGTCCCTGTTGGCGGCTATTGTGCATGTTTATATTTCAGTCTTTTTGGAACTCGACAGAAACAGATTCCTCGTTTCTTATTTCTCGTTCCCGGAGAGGAACGCCACTACCACACCCGTTTGTACCATAGCTTAAAATCTTTTTATGATTTTTCAGTTTTTTTAAACATTTTCCTACAATAATCCCTGATCACTCTAGCAAAGATGTGCTTCTCTCCTCTTCACTTTTGCTAAATGAGAGGCTTTCACCCATCTAAAAACCAAGTTTTTTGTTACAAAGCAACTACTTTGCATGAAAGGATTACTTGCCTTTGTCCTTAGAAATTGAATTGTAGGTTCCCTTAAATCCTTTACTCCCGCGCCACGACTTAGATTTAAACACGACAAATAACCGGTTAGTACGTGAAACCAAATCGATATTTTTGGCTTTTGAACACTGAGAAAAGTTTTCAACTATTTTATTCGCAAATTCATTGTCACCATCATAAATGTCAATATAATCCCTAGCCAATTCTGGAGTGGTGCATTTCGGGAACGAAACAGAACCTATGGTCAGTCTTATCACGTAATTATCAGGTGCTTTAAGTTTCCAGGAACACTCCATATTTCCTGGATAGTCTTGCGGAAAACCATAAGTCTCAATTTCTCCTTCGTTTTCTGCAGATTCTGGTGGACAAACTAGAAAGCAAGGGAATACGAAGCAATTTTTACATGTTTCCTTATATATTTACAGTCTCTTGATCATAGTGATTTATTTTAATTTTCCTTGAAAAATAATTATTGTTGAACAAAGAAACAAAGAAAGGCAACCAACCACTACCTGCTTAATTGTATTAAAGTTATATTTAAAATTATATAAATCAATTAAAATGTTAGCCTACATATAAAACAAATTAATTAATTAAAAATATACTATCAAACATACGATTAACGACCCTGATTATTTCATATTTCACTTCCAGCCCATCAGTTTTGGCAAACTGATTTGTCTTAAACGTGATGAGCACGTGATTTGCGCTTGACATCAGATCTGGTTTTCCCTTGGTCCATTCCCCCAGCTTTGTACTAGATATTGTTAAACCATCAAATATCTGCAAATCGCCACATGCTTCACAACCGCCGAAATCAAGAGTTTTGACTGTTACACGAATAGCGTAGTCTGCGTCCACCGTTATTGGCCAGAAACAATGCATAATATCCTTTGCGATATATTTTGACTTGTAATCATAACTTTTTAGAGTTCCATTAAAGTTCTGTGATGCTGGGACATTGGAACAAACTAAAACATGACCAATAATATTAGATAAACAAAGGTGCTACGATTGAGCGAGAAGGCTTTTTAAACGTCATTCTTTAATAAAATATTTACATTGTTTTCTTTTCTGGATAGATGTTTTTGCGTGAGACAAAGTGTTTCGAAAGTAACACTGTTGAACAGTGCATGTTGTAGGACTTGTTATGAAAACATTGATACATCATTTATACAGGCTCATGAGTCATGACATTAGATGTGAATCTTGCATTCACCTCATTTATTATCAAATAGTATATTATTTTTCATTACTGAGATTGAACTTTGTATTCGCCAACGTAAACCACGATCAAATCCCGCCCTTTTATCAGCAAAATCGAAGCACGGTCTCCCCACACACACACACACTTTAGAGAGTTTAGGATTCACAACGTGGCTAGAGAAGACGCGTTAGAAAGGCTTGGTAACTAGCGCGCCAAGGCGTCTTGTTAATTTAGTTTATTTTAATCCAACGCGTAGTCGACTATTCTGCGACGGAATTTTGTCAATTTCACGTTGTGATCACTACGCTGCGGATTTCATGTGAGTATCCAATACTTTTACATTGAAAACGTGATTTAAGTTCTTAAGTTTTTATTTTTGATGAAGTAGTACCTTTGATTACATTTTCAGTGGCATTTAAACAAAAAATTACAAAGATTTTGAAAAACTTATAATTTTCCCGCCAGTAAAGTTTTCCTAGTAAAGTTTAAACTCTTTAGTGTATTCGAGCTATGCCCCTGCTGATAGAAACTAAACTATCCTTAATTTAGACGAAAGAACGATCTCAAAATGTCCCAAGGTCGGAGTGGAAATGACATTGATGTATGCTATATAATTACCTTTGTTTTCTTTAAGCGTTTTATACGTCGCTTCAAAGTCATGTTTCAAAGAGGGTGGTGCCACAATCAATTTAATAAACAAGAAACGACCGTCGGAGAGCAAATAAGATGGAACCTCGGAAAGTCTACACCATGTCCCAAGCTTTAAATCTGATGAAGACTCTCCGTCATATACTTCTAAACTTCCACAACTACAGTGTGAACATGTGGATTGAAAACTTAGATTTAATATCTCTAATGCAACTGTACTCTCTGGGGTTGCATCCAGGCGCCATTCACAAATTATGTTTCCGTATGCTGGATATTTAATACTTATTGTTGACTCGGTTCTGGGACACACTGAAAAAGAAGAAGTAAGTCCTGTAATTGTAGGCTTTTGAAATATCGAAGTTAAATTAATAAACTGCATAAATGATTATTGCTGCCGAAGGCAGCACTCCTAATCTTGACATGAAGGTTTCGCCAGAGTTCACTCGACCCAGTCTTTCGCAACGATCTATGTATTGTCGAGATCTCGATCTTGTGTCTGTTAAGATGTCGTAAATCAAAATCGCGGGGCGAGAAAAATATTAAATATTTAAATTGCGCGTGCACATATTTATATGGCTATATGCAAACTTATTCTGGATCTGACTTGATGCAAAAAATACGACCATTTCCCGAAGAAACCAGGTAAGTATGGCTTTATTTTTTTGTGCTAATATCCATCAAGGCCATGAACTGTTTAGCGTTCATTGTGGAGGCAAGCAATGTGCTTTTATGTCACGAGTCTACGGCGCTTCTTACAGCCCGAAATATTCCCATTGTGACATAATGACATTGTCTGCATGGTCGTTTAGAACATTTGATAATGTCTTATAAATACACGGAGACAAGATGTACTTAAGAGCTCTGAAGTATTTAATGAATTTACCGGCAGTGTAGAATAGCCCACCAGATCTATTCGTCAATAATGCCTTATTTACGAGTCAGTGAGTCACATGTACTCATGCAGTTTTAATATTTGTTTGTTATGTGCCAAGACGATGAGTATAGTGTTCATTTCTAGATGTTTATAGTTTAACAACAAACGCAGAATGTTGTTAAATCAGGCTTACTGTGATAAGATCCCTAGAGCAACCCTGTGTGGATTGTTCTCTGCACATATTGACTTTATACCAGCAATATGATTAATGCTGATTTTTGTACAAGATATGACTGTGTGTTTATTGTTAGCATAATATGAAATAATCCTACTACAGGCGGCCCAATCTCTGAACGTCCTATATATTTTGAATATTTAACCGTTATAATATTTTAAAATAACAAAATAATTCAAAAAATATTAACAATATATGTAAAAAATATATCTCACTTGTTAATAGAATCCATTTGTTGTGTTTCTGAGTCTAGTTGATGCGATTGCTTTACGTTTTCGTCGTACTTGAACGGTCGTCAGTATTGGCACTGAACGACATGGCCATACTAGGACATAAACTAGAAGTTACTATCGCAAGGAAAATGCTGCCTCACCCCCAAGCGATGAAGGCAGCATGAGCAATTTGCTGAATAAGGGCCCTGTTTATATGATCCCACCAGGACGAGATATGAGGCAGGATGATTTCGATATACTGAAATAAGTCACGGTGCATGATTCAGCAACCCTAAAACGCCTGTTCAGGAGGTATGAAAAGTGCAATTTGAATATCAAACACCTTGCACAAAGACGAAGGTCGGCTAAATGTTCTAATTCTACTTTCTTTGCATGGGCCATGGGCGGTTTTATATGAATATCTTCAATGCTTATAACTTCTTGCTTTTGTATGTATAATCATAATACTGTCAGTGGTGAAGCTGGCCATAGCAACAGGTCATGCTATGCAAGTTTTTAATGATTTAAATTGTTCAAATAGATGCAGGTTTATTAGCATAGCATGGTCAGTTGCCACGGCTTGCTTACCACTGAATACTGTACAATGTTTGTATAAAGATACTAAAGCCAGTTTTCCACTTCGTCTTAACGTATCGTAGCATTTGCTTTTGTGTTCATATTATGTTAACAATTGATGGACATATCTCAGAGGCCTCAAAGATATATAATATATATATAAACAGACAGTCATGTCTTATACCTGTACAAAAATCATGTTGGAAACAGACTATAAATAGGTTAGGAATAAACACTAGATATGAACGCCATATAAGGACATAATTACTGTATGATTGACATTTAGCAAAAACAACAGAGTACATTGCGAGCGAGAGAGAAATAGGTGTGTAAACATAATACAACATACGAAATAAAATCAAATAATTTGGCGATTAAAAACACAGTGAATTGTCGTGAAGGACGGCCCTTTTAGTAGAGCATTCCGACAGTCAGTTGACATACTATTACATGTATTAAATTGCTAGCTGGTGTTATATTATAAAAGTCAATATGTGCAGACCGTGCTGCAGACAACAATCCACATTGGGTTGCTCTAGGAATCTTATTACAGTAAGCCTGATTAAACAACATTCCGCGTTTATTTTCAAACTATAAACATCTACAAACTGAACACTATATATACTCATGGTTTTGGCTGGCTTGCACATATCAATAAACTCATAATCAGTTAAAGCACATCTCTTGCCTCTAGAATTTTCGAACGCTAAACAGTTCATCGCCTTGATGGCTATTAACACAAATAAATAAAGCCATAGTTACTTGGTTTCTTCGGGAAGTGTTCGTATATTTTGCATCAAGTCAGATCCAGAATAAAAAGCTTGCAAATTATGTGCACGCAATTCAATATTTTTCTCGCACTTCCCCCGGTGTCCCCCCGGAATTACGACATCTTAAATATGGACAGACACAAGATCTAGATCTCGACAACACATAGATCGGCGCGAAAGACTGGGTCGAGTGAACTCTGGAGCAAGATTAGGAGTGCTGCCTTCGGCAGCAAAAAGGGACTTTGTCTCTGGGGCCAAAATGGTTGAGTGGGGGGGGGGGGCACCATGGGGGCTGGGGGGTGGGTCTTTGCCGCTTTGGCCCCCCAAGTTATATAGTTCAGTAAAAAATGCCCTGACTCCCACTTGCTTTTCTTTGCTTTTGTAACTGTTTTTTGTAACTCTTTTGGAGCGATTGCAGAATACCCGTCTATTTTTTAAGGTGGCTCCATATAGTTCCGTAGTATAAATACCTTATTGCGTAAAAAATTCAATTTATAAATGTTTTATATTCGTTTTCAGTCGTAACTTGTGTGTTTTCATGTTGTTGTTGACAATTTAAAACAGTTTAACCGGCGCATAATGCTGTTTCAGCCGGCGCATGATGTTGTTTCACTGAATTTCTTTGCTGTTAGTAACACTTTAAATACATTTACCAGTTGTAAGTACAAAAAACTCTGGATAATAATAATAATAATAATATATTTATTCCATTACACCATTACTGGTACATAGGATATATTACAATATAACAGATACATATATACAAACAATAAAACTAGTACTATAGCTAATACTTAATTACAAACAGTACAGTCAGAGAAAATCTTAGTTAACTCGTAAATGTATCTGGCTGTACAATTTGTTAAACTCTTGTCATTCATGGATATACAATAAAGAAACAGGTCGTTTTTACCTAGTGAACTAAAACAACTATTAATTTCCAGTATCTCTTTCAGGAAATTTTCTTTTAGATTTTCTAACTTGTAATTTTTACAATTTAAAAAATAATGGTATTCGTCACCTATATCATTTGAATCACAAATT